GAAAAAGGAAAAAGGAAAAAGGGCGGGGGGGGGTGTTTTGATAGGATCGCCAAGCTGGATTATTTGCAAAAGTCGTGGAAGACTTCAGGAGCTCTGGATCCTGCAGCGAAACGCGGACGGCCGTCTTCTCTCTCTCTCTCTCTCTCTTTGGAGGGGAAATGCAGGAAAACAAACCCGTGTGGTTCTTCTTCCCGGCAAGCAATCGGTTCGGACAGCTACTTTTTAAATTTTAAACCAAAAGGAATCAGCAGCTTTGCTTCTTTACAGCAAATGAAACATCCTCTTGATGGCATCTTGTTTGTTTTCTAAACGGCACTTTTAAAAATAACCTCAGGGCCCCAACCTGGAAATTAGCGTGTGGATGAGGGGAGGGGAGAAGGTATATTCATGTATTTTTCTGCAGCTCTTGAGCCTCCAACTTCTCGACTGTGGGAGTGAAAAGATCCCGCGTGCCCCCCCACCCCAGGCCCACTGACATGCTATTTTTGTTTTTAACGCAGAAGCGGTTCATTAAAGGACTCAGACAGTACGGCAAGAACTTCTTCAGGATCCGAAAAGAGTTGCTCCCCAATAAGGAGACCGTGAGTATCCCTGGACTTGATGTAACTCGCTCCCCCCCCCAATGCCGTTCTGCATTCCTCCATTTGCTCTGACGGAGTCTTTTAACCCTCGATGGCCCTTCTGTCTCGCTTTTTGGGATCGTCCGTGAAACTGGAGTTTCAGATCTGCTGGTGGTTCAGAGAAGGGTTTCCCCAAACTTCTGGGGTTGACCCAAGCATGATTTCCCCTGTGTTGGAAGCAGACGTGGAGCAGTAATGAAGTGTTTGGCGGACCCGGGAGGAAGGAGGGGTAATTTAAAGGACAGCAGTGTTGAAAGCGATTCTGGTTGCACCTCGGGGAACCGAGGTCTGTGTTGGATGGATGTTCCCTCCCCTAAATCAGGGCTGGTTCTTTCATTCTCCTTGATTTGGTGAGTGGCAAGGCGTGGTTTGGTTGGCTGATGTTAGGATCGCTTCTCTTTGGCCTGCGCAAAGCCTTTTTTCCAAAGGTTTTGCTGTCATGCTTGGAGGTGCCGGCCCGGGCTGCTGGGGGGACCCCGGGAGAGCCCTGGGCGATTAGGATCGGCCTCCGTCTAGCACTGATCATCTAGAAGCCTCTGGATTCCTGTGGCGATGCTACTTGCTGTAGGCCAGAGCGGCATGAAAAATAGGTTTTCCTCCTCTCGTGTTGTGTAGCGAAGAGCCGCCAAGCCGTCGGCAACAGAGGCATTCATTTCCAGGGCTCTGGGAAGTGGCATTCTGGCTAATTCTTAAGCCCAGCTTGGTGACAGTTTCCCACAAGACAAACTTATGGGTTGGTTTGTCTGAACGGAGGCAGGAAGTCCTTGTGCTCGTGAGTCATGCTTTTCATTTAATGCAGTAACTTGGAGCTGGAGGTTTTTTCTCCGCGATACAAAGGGCATCTGTTGAGCCCCTGTGTTATGACACGAGGATCTGTCATTGAGAAGAATTAATTGCAGCGTCACATGGATCCGCCAGTCCGTTGGGACGAAACACTTCCTACAAAGTTGTTCCTTTTTTGTCGTGGTCGCTGGTCTGACCGACAAATGGTTATAAAGGGCAAACTCATGAGAGGACGAGAACGCTTTGCATTTTAATGACCTTTCTCTTTGGACGAAGGTCCTGTGGAGAAAAACAGCTTTGCAGAAGTGAACATTGCATACAAAGGAAAGAAAGAAAGAGACACACTTACTAAACAAACAGCATTGGCCTTTATCCGAAGCCGCTTTCTCCCTGTAACCTTTAGAAGTATACTGTGAGCAGATCTTTTCTGTTTTACGTGCCTTTGAAACGAGCGGCGTAATTTCAAATTATTTTGACAGTTTTTCACTCTGTGCTGGGAAACAGCTGTCATACGTCAGCCCTGTTTTCTCTTCGCGAAAGCTGGGGGGGCGGGTTGGTGCACCGGCAGACGCAGATATATACCGATCTATATTGCAATGACCAGTTGGATAATGGGGAAGGACACTGGACTTGTGGGACTTTGAGCTTGTCCAGATTACAGACTGCATTCCTCCCTCTTTTAAAAACAGACTGAAAAACAGAGCTTGGTAAAATGCAAATTTGGGATTCTGTATTCAGAGATCTGCCTTTTTTTAAGCCCTCGAGGCCAAAACTTTTTAAGGGCCAAGGAGATGAGATGCTGCTGATTTGATATGTGTGCAGGCCCCTCGGGCTGTAGTGGTGAGTAACCCCTGACTTTCCTGGATGATGGAACCTCTGCATCCCGCTTCTTGCTTTCTCAGCTTGGCAGAGGCTAAGAAGCACAAGCTACAGGTAGTCCCCAGGTTAAGAACACCTGGGTTGCAGACGACCCATAGTTAAGAACGGAGCCTGTTGTAGCAAAATTTGAGTTAAATACCCAATTATTCGGGTTAAATGCACAATGGTTCAAGTTAATTACACATTACTCCTTATGCAGTACTATACAATAATACTTTTCCGGCTTACGTACAAATTCGACTTAAGGACAGACCTTGGGAACGGAACTCGTTCCTAAACTGGGGACTGCCTGTACTGTGTCATGGTGGGGATTATGTTTCAGGGTTTAAAAACAACAGGTTTGGGTTTTTATTGCAAGAAGGTAACACAGATTAGACCATGGTGTGAGAGGGCTTGTCTGCTGGCCTCTCGCTTTCTCCTTCTGCCGAAAATATTTTCTTTCTTTCCTTCCTCCTCTGCTTGATATTGAGAGGGGGAAGATGGTCAGTATCATGTCAAGTGGGATTTGGCGTGACCCGGCCTGTACTTGCCAGAGAAAGGCCGAAACAGCCTTTGACTGCTGGGATTTCCATCCAGGCAGAGATGTCACTCTTGTCACTTCGTGGGCACCCTCAAAGAAATGCCAGGTCGAATGTGTTAGGACAGGGGCCTTATAGTCGGGTTGGATATTGCGAGGAACCATTTGGGACTTCATTCCTAAAAACAAGATGCGGGTTGTTGCCCATTTTGAACCACTAGACTCTAACCCAGGATCAGTGAGCTTGAGCTCGACTCCAACGCTGGAGGAAGGGGATGAATGGAAGAGCCCTCTGCACTCCCTCAGAGGCAGTCTCTTTTTAAACGTTTAGTCCAACCCTTGACTTTGAACTTGGGCCCCCAAGAGCGCCGGAAGTGCTGGAGGTAATAGAGCAGAACTGGTTCTTTGAAGTGACTTAGTCAGGACCTGGAAGGAGCAAAGTGCATGGCATTTAATTCCCAGCGGTGGAAAAGATTCCTAGATGTCACAACAACAAGTTCATTGTCTATTTTCACCCAGGGGGAGCCTCACATTTATGTTGTTCAACTAGAGGATCCTATCCTTTTTATTTCTGTTTTAAACTTGCTCCAAAGGTCAGACACTACCTTAGAAGAAATGTCCCCTCCCTTTCCATGCTCAGGAGATGCTTTTTTCTACCACACGTGTTGGCCCCTCTACCAGCAAGGGACCGGATGGGAGCCCGTTCCAGTCCATGACAAACTTACAGGGGTGTAATTGATGGAAATCCCCACAGTTAATCGATTGCTTCAGTTGCGTGACCGGAAAAAACGGCACGAGGAAACGTTGCGTCCAAAATATGCCTTGCTAGGGTTATAAATCCGGTCTGGAGTAAGTCTCTGTGATTTGGGCGGCCTGGTTTCGGCGGGTCTTGGCAAGCGCGGTTGCGCCTCGGGCTAGGCCGGTAGCAGTCCCAGGATCCAAAGCGCGGGTCCAGGCTTGGCACGTTGTGCTGAATCAAAACCAGCTCGCTTTAGGGCTTAGGCTGCATAGATGAACCGAGGCTCGTGCCTTTCAGCCCCAGCTCCTTGGAACTGCCTTTCTTGTCTCTAAAGCCGCGTGAAATGCACTTGAGACCCTCCTGTGCAGAGATTTGGTCCAGACCTGTAGATTTATCTAAAATACGCCCCATCCGGCCGGCTTACTCGACTGGCCGGGCTTTTAAGGAGCGACAAAGCCAGCCTGACTGATCTTTCCTCTTGCTGTTTCCGATGAAACACTTTTACTCATCTCAAGAAAGCCGGCCAGCAGCCGTGCGTACAACCCTGGGGTAGGAGAAAAAGGCTTCTTCGACTGTGTCGTTGCTTAATTCCTTCCCAGGTATTTTGCTAACCTATTTCCCCAGACTATTCTGTGGTTTCTAAGCCCAAAATGCATTGCTGGCTCTCTTCTTTTCCATCTCTCTCTCTCTCTCTCTGTATATAAGAGACTATTTTTAACTTCTAAAGGAGCCTGCAGCAAGAGATAGAAGAAGGAAGAATGTTTGCTTTGTAAATCAAACTTCTGTGAATAGGCACATCTGACAGAAATGAGAACCTCCTGCCCTCCTCGCGTATTTCAAGGCCGTTTTGTGTAACTGCGGGTGAGTTCCTGGTGGGCAGGCTTTATATAGCTGTACCCAAAAAAAAACAAAAAAAAACCACCCTCCTGTTCAGGTTTTTATTAGCCATTTCTCAGAAACCGAAGCCGGTCCCCATGAGGCCCGTTGAAATCAAAATGCTGGACTCGGGGATTGAAAGGAGACCCTTCCAGAGGGCTGAGCTGGGCCTAGTGCGGAGCAGAAGAGGCCCGTGTTTGAAACTGGGTTTAATTCACTTTGTAGAAATCAGGCCGCAGATGTTCCTAATCAGCTTGCCCGCGTGTACCTTGGTCAGTCATATGCTCCTCTTTAATTGCATGGAGATAAGCTTTATTTTATTTATACACTTGCGATCCCACCATCCTGCCCTTCTTGGCTGGGTTTATACGCTCTTGAGTGGATCAGCATCTTTCCACTCCCGGTAGGTTTACCCCCTCCCTTCTCCCCATCTCCCCTTCTTTTCCGATAACCAAGTTTCTCTTTCCCTTTTTGCTTCCGTTATTAAAACGATCGCTTTCTTCCGATTATGCTGGCTGTTCTAGAAGCCAGCTTTGTTCTTTCTTCCCAGAGGTTTGTGTTTACGTTGGAGTAACTGACTGAAAACCAAAAAAAACCCCCCAGCCAACCTAATCTGCTCAATTACTACTTCTTAGGGCCTACTGCAGGTTTACATAATATGTTTTGTAATAAAGATCAGACTGACGCTTTTGCTAAGCCCGTAACTGTTGGTGAGTGAAACACGCATCTCTGCCTTCTCTGCACTCAGAATTATGTCTTAAAAATCAACTAGTTCTTGAGTTGGGGGGGGGATAACCCTTGGGGGCCTCTGTAAGTTTGGGATTTTAGCTTGCCATCAGCGGGAGAGGCTGTTAGGCTGAAATATCTCAGGCAAAAGGCTTCTACCCCAAACCTAGCCTTGAGCAAAAGGCAGGATTCCCATCTTCGCCATGATTTTCCCGTGGCAGATTCCAGGCAGCCCCCCAGGACAAAAAAGCGCGTTGCAGAACGAGAGAGGCTCGAACGTTGCTCTCTTAGCTTTCGACCTGCAGGGAGGGTTTGTTTCTTGCGTCCTCCGGGCTTGCTTGTTACCTTTGGGTTCTTGGCCGGGGGGCCATTTGCACTTTCAGCCGGCTCACCCCACCCCCAGAGACTGTGGCTTGCCTCCCCTGCCATCAGAATCCGTTCCAGTGGAAACCAAGGCGTGGCTTGGGGAGAACTGGGGAGGGGGGAGCTGTTGCTGATCATTAAGAGAGCTGGAAAGGCATTGCCTAAGTTGTAATGGTTGCTTTGGCGGGGCGGGGGGGGAGGGGAATTCTCCTGTAGTTCAGCATATTACTCCAAGCCAGAGAAAAATTTAGGATC